TCTCCAGACGGTTCAATCTCGGATGCGGAGGGATGAATAATTCATCGCCAGTGGACGTTCATGTAATCCTAAAACAGAGACCATTTTTATCTGAAACAGATCCATCCTCGTAACATGTACTCGAAGTTGAGACGGCCACGAATACTTCCATTCCTCAGGATCTCCGTTTACCTTCTTCAACTCCCAGGATAATCCAGGATACTCCCGATAGTCTTCATCCTTTGCACACATTCTCATCTTGGCAATTTCAATTTGCCATAACAGGAAGTCCTAAAATATGGAAAATTCAGTCTTTATAAAAGTGATAGCGAGAAAATCGGTTCCACCGGACATTACCGTAATTAAATATCTGAAAGATTATATTCAATCGAATGTAGGCCAAATTCCACCTTCTTTCCGTAATTTTCATAAGTAACTCGGTTTGAAAAAAAAAAATCGCGTCCGCAATTCCTACCTTATCGGCGGTGAGGTAACATACGCGACTCCAGAAGTGGTCAGGACGGCAGAAGAAAAACGGCGGAAAGGAGGAAAAAGAACAGAGGACCGATCGAATTCAATCTCGGATACATCGACCGGCCTCCGATAAGTTCTCGTGGAAAGTCTATCGGAATCGATAGACACCCGCGCTCGTCTATTTGCATTGGTTCCGCTGGCTGATCTAATGGATTCCCTTTCGATTTCTACGAACACGGCCGGAATCCGCTTGCGGGTCGTGATGCGGCCCCGCGTGCGGTATCACCGACACGCACCGTCACTCGATGCGTGGGCGTCTCTTGCACCTTTAATGAATAAAATCTATTACTATTTATTCATTTTGCGTTACTATCAATATTCAATACATTAAATAATTCAACATTCGATCTACCTGTACGTAGATGGCGACGATGGACGTATGAGTTCTCCGCGAGAACCTAACATAACCTCTAACAGTCGTTGAAATTGAAATAGAGAAGTATCTCCTCTCTACAAACCTACAACCGTGAAAGGCTATAATTTAGATTTTTCGAATATTAATGGATCGTCAGAGTACCTCTGAATGCTGACCGCCTTAGAGAGAAGAATATAATCTTCGTATGCCGTAGTGTAAGAATGACGTCAGTAGCGTCTTCCTGCAACCGTGAAAGGGTATAATTTAGATTTTTTTAATCTTAATGGACCGTAGAGTACCTTTGAATTAATCTGTACAGCCGAATTGAACAGATTAAGCGACCAAATTCGAGGTTTCGTGGCGTCCTACGATAGCGATCGCAGCGCCGCGCCGCCGTTAGGCGGAACACATTCGAATGCTGCGCGCGCCTTCGGGCGCGTTTCACCGCGTTCGCTTGGCAAGCGTTCTGCGCATGCGTTCCTCTCCGTGTGTCAAACGCGTGCCCGAGAGATCGACCTGCTTAGGTCGGAGAAAAGTGCGCATTCGATTAAATAGGGATTCCACGCAGCATTCGTGATAAAGATATTCCAAGAGGAAGCTCACCAGTGAAGCAGTTTGACAGGACGCGTCTCCTTGGCTCGTAAATTTGAATCTCGACGGGAGCAACCGTCATTCCAAGATGGCGTCCCTGCCACGTGGAGCGCGTTCAAACCTGCAAAAAATCCCACGCTCCAGGATTTCCTTTCAAGGTACCTTTCTAAGCATGCGCCAAACGCCAATAAATCGGCACAATTCCTCAAGGTACTATTTTTCTACCGAAATCTAATCATATAGAAACTTGGGAGAACCGGTAAGTCTAATTTGTTCCGTTACCCCAGAAACCAAGATGGCGTCCCTGCCACGGGAAGCGCGTTCAAACCTACGAAAAATTCCGATTTCTTTTCAAGATACCTTTCCAAGCAACTGGCAAACGCTAATAAATCGACACATTGACTGATGGTACTATTTTTCTAACGAATGTAATTAATTAGAAACTTGGAAGAACCGTTAATTCTAACTTTTTGCCGTGAACTCAGAACCAAGATGGCGGACTGGACACCCCGCGAAGTGTCACTCGGCCGCCCCCGGCGGTGTAAGCAACCATGAAACGAGGAAAATTTACCCTGACCCGAGAGCGGCGCTTAGTCACCAACATAATTGTCCAGCTTTAGATAGATTAACGAGTTCCGATCTGGACTGCGGAAAAATGGCTCCTAATTGTGAGTGATAAAAGGGGCTCTGGGGGGGGGGTCTTGCAAAAAAGAAAATGGCGCCCGGGCTCGGGTGCACCCGGCTTCATGTTTTCCAAGGTAATTACTAGGAATAGTCCGGCGATTGCTCGCTTTAGAATGGTATTTGGTTGCAAAACTCGCTACGCGATGCCTGATAAAAATGTTTGGAGAAACCGGTTCGCATGGGTGTCCCCGAAGCCTCGAGGATTTTCGCCGGGTAGGTAGGTCGCACTCGATAACGACGCTGTGATTTACGTAGAGAGTCAAGCGTATCGGAGGCATCGTACGTTAGGCTTAGAAACTTTAGGGGTCACTCGAGGTACTTCCAAGTCTGCACGGCTCGCCTCGATGATTTTCACGGCTCTGTCCCAAGCCCCGTGCAATCGCCCCGACCTAACCTCCAAAGAACCGATTTCATTCATATGTATCAATACTATTTTTCTATGTGACTTTAATGTTTTATTTCATATTTTAGATTCCGTGCTGATGCAGACACCGATTATATGGATGATTATGACGATAGATATATGTATAGTGAAGCGAACACCTCGAATATGTAATATACACAATTTTTTTGTATATCATTATAATCTTTTATTTCATATTTTAGATTCTGTGCTGATGCAGACACCAATTATATGGATGATTATGACGATAGGTATATGTATAGTGAAGCGAAAAACTCGAATATGTAATATACACAATTTTTTTTGTATATGATTATAATATTTTATTTCATATTTTAGATTCGGTGCCGATGCTGATATCGATAACGTGGATGATTATGATTAAGAGCATGTATATAGTGAACTGTACGTGCAATCTCGGGTACGTGACGCGCCGGATGTGCACTGTATAATTTAGATCATTCCGACGGTCATACCGATACGAGTATTACATAGTCAAGTAATCCGGATTATTACCAACAATGTTCGCACATTACCTCCGGCAAGGTGGAAAACGTAGGGAATCGGGTTACGGCTTCGATACTCCGATCATCGTAATTGTAGGAGTTGATATACGCCGGTTTGCACATTGACACCGAAATCAAAAGACCTACGTTCTCCCCATTGTTGCAGGCAGGATTAATTTGATTTGCCGAGCATTTATGTGGTACTGTTTTACAGGAAACCTGGGTGTTCTACGGTGATTGCTTACCGAGTCGCGAGCAACAATTGCGCAGTGACAACCGGTTCGCATTGACATCACCGAGAAACTGGGTATTGTTTATTTATTTACTATTATCATTTCACGCAAATTCTGTCGACAATGCCGGGACATTGCCCTGCCGATGTGGAACGTAGGAGCCGTGTGTCATACCTTTGATGGCTGCATTAACCGAACGACTGTAATGATGACGATTATAATAAATTACAGGTAGGCGAAAATAGCTTCTGCCTATTACGTTCAAATTGAAATATTAATTTCCAGGTTATCGTTATTGACGGCTATCGACGGCTGGATTATTTCGAAATCGCGTCAGAGACTTCGAGGATTAAAGGCACGGAGTGGATGCTTGACTCTTTTATTCAGACGTCAGGTGATTACGATAAACATCCAGCGATAGCGGGGTATAAACAGGGTATGATGAACATCGATTATTGTTCGCTCGAACGGGAGCAAAGGTCCTCGGAAATTTCAACGAAACTTTTCCAGTGCATCCAGGCATGACTCAAGGACCCGATTACTCTTGGCTGCGAGATATCATCGAGGACCAGGAATCTTTTGCAAGCCCGATCATAAATTTCTTGCCGGTGTCCTCCGACTATCGTTCTTTGTTGCGATCACGTAACTGGTTTAATTATTATTTACTTCGGGCGTTACGTCGCAAGTGCGGGATTTCGTGGCCACCAGATATAAGAGGCGGCCCGGAGGAAGCGAAGAGGAAATTCGGTTTCCTTTGGCGCTTCCTCGTGGAAATAGGCACAGGTGAAACTGGCGTGATGCAGACGACGGTTTTCTAGGACCGATGATTTGTCGCGATACAAATGAGATTCATGAATCAGTGACAAAATGTGTCATTTTCTCCCGACTGCTCCGTCGCCTTTCTAATTTGCCTGTTCAGCAAATGTCGGAATACTCGATTCCTCATTTTATTGTTATCAAGAAATTGTTTGGAACGCTTCGAAGTACTCTGCACTTGTAGCAAAGGATAGCATTGCTGATAAGGTTTCTCTCTTACTGTAAGAATCACACCGATATCAAAAATGTATACAATTATACCCAACGTAGATTGAAAGTGTCTTTAGAAAAAGTGCTTGCTCCAAATTAGCATATGAATTTCTAGCGACGGCTAAAAAGATATTGTTGTTACTACACGATTAAATGAGCGATATACCATTTGTTATTGCTGGAAAGGATTATTGTAAACATGAATAGTATTCCCGTTGCCACGGAGACGTAATCGTATCTTTGTTGTCAGTGTAAGGAAAATGTTTCTCGCTCATTTTCGAGTGTTCACGTTTGTCGAGCAAGTAAAATCGCTTGTTATGACCTTGAATTATTTTTCTGCGAGCGGTTAAACACTTGCGAGATGTACTTTACCTAGGCTTATGTCGGATGTTTGCCGAATTACCGGCTCACGAGACTTTCGACTTTCAGCAACTACCGGCGACACCGACACCGGGAAAGATAAAAACGTGACAAAAGTGCGCGATACGCAGGAAGACCTGCCTAAAGTCCCGGCAGCGACAATTAAGATCTGTTTCCATGATTCGTACGATTACATTGCGACAACCGTCGCATTAGAGATTTCGTACACCCCGTTACGAGGACTGCATTGAGAGGAGTCACGGTTTTCTGGGAAAGAGATCAGAGAGGCATAAAAAATTGCGCAATTCCGGCCGAATCTCGAGAGCCGGATTTAACGCTTATTAACGTCCTTCTCTTTTTCAGGATCAGATCCTCGAACGAGGAGCTCGTCTCGGGATCCTGCACGGCATTTTCTTCCTCCCCTCCAGGTAATTCCTTTTTTTTAAACCCAAGAACGCGTCATCCTAACTTTCGCCATCTCGATTCGTGCGTGGTGCGACGACGACGAGTCTGAAAACGGCGTTATGTCCTACATGAGGAGGTCCTCTCCCTCCCGGAAGCGAATCTTCCTTTCGCCATGGTCCGGCCCCAGACGGCGGTCCCTTCACCTTCATCCACCTTCTCATTTTTTTTTGCCCACCTCCCAAATCCTCTTCGGATACTTCATCTTCTTTAATCCAGCACAAAGTCCTGCCGCAACGTCCCTTGAAAGCGGTCTCGGAAAGCATGATCGATGTCACGAAACAACCATTCCGCAAATTTCTTTCGAATTTGCATCCTACCTTCCGTTATACATTCCTCCACCTGACCCATACATGAGATACATAGAATGATATCCATAAAATGAAATGAAATTTATTAAATCTCTTACGACTGACCTTCTCTTACGTCTAAGATTACAATGCCATCACGAGTTACACGTAACGCGATCATTAAGAAATGTGCCTAAATTTTTCAATACTTTTATCGTTACTGCTCGATTACACCTGATGAAAACAAAACGTGCCTAATTTGTCAATATTTGTATCGATAGTGACGAGGTCCACCTGATGAGTGTATTTTTCAGGTGCAGGCCGATCGCGAGGGAGAAATCAGGAAAAGGGAAACGAGACAACGTGGAAATAATTTCTTTCACCTGAACCATCCATAAAATACCTAGAATGATATCAATCACCTCCAAAATGTATTAAATCTCCTGGGATTGACCTTCTCTTACGTCTAGGATTACATTACCATCACGAGTTACAGGTAAGGTATTAATGCCGAAACGTGCCTAAATTTTTCAATATCGTTATCAGTGCTCGATTCCACCTGATGAGGGTATTTCCCAGGTGCAGGCCGATCGCAGGGAAAAAGCAGCAAAAGAGGAGCGAGAGAAGGTGGAAAGGAAGCGAATCCGGTCACGTGCGCCAGGTGAAGGCTGCAGTCGCGATCCGACTCCCCCGAGGTCCCCCTGGCGTCTGCTCGAGGTAGACCTCGACAGGCGAACTACCACCATCCATCCATCCATCTCCATCCACCTACCACCTACCAGGAGGAGACTCGCACCACCTCCACCTCCACCTCCTGCCGGGCGATCGGCGCTGCATCTCAAAAGGAGGTGAACGCGCGCGAGAGCGTACCATTGGGCAGAGAATTGGGCCAGGAGCCAATGGTGAGGAAGTCGAGGTGGAGCGATAGGTATTAAATAGGTGCGCAGCGACGAGAGCTGCCGCTAGGAAAAGCCGAGGGCCCGTGAAAATCGCGGGGACGGACTCAGTGATCCAGTTTGTGGTGGTAGTTCTCTCCTCGCGATTGCGGTGTAGCACCGAGAAGTGACGGTCCCGACAAGAGTGGCCAGCTCGAGTCCTCAGTCGCCGCCGAGCCGGTGCCACAGACAGTCCGAAAGAAGCTCCTCCATTCACCTCGGGAGTTCGCCATGAGGTCCTGCACCGGCTGCCGTCTCGTGCTCCTGCTCGTCCTCGGAGTGTACCACCAGGCCCATGGAGTAAGGATCGGCACCACCAAGCGGAAAAAGGGTGAGTCCTGCGAGTCCCATGAGGCGCGACCTGGTCCCCATCCTGGATTTCTCTTCGGGATTGGAGATACACGGTACACTGGAATCCTGGACGTATTTTCGAGTATTTCGTGTTGTTGGGAAGGACTAGAAGAGCGAGAATTCCAATCAATAGGAGGCTTGAGTACCGGTCCACTGGTATTTGTTCTTGATGATGACGGAGAATAGGGTTTTCGGATTTTGGAGTACTTGGTGTTGTTCGGAGGAACTGGAAGAGTGGGAATTCGGATCGATAGGAGGATTGAGTGCTGATTTACATATTTCTCCTTGACGATGATGATGAAGAATAGGGTTTTCCAATTTTGGAGTATTTTGGTATTGTTCCGGGGAACTGGTAGACCTGAAATTCGGATCGGTAGGAGGATAGAGGACTGCTGTATGTATTCCTCTTTAACGGTGGCGGAGAATAGGATATTTTTTAAGGATGTTATGTGGAGATCCTCTCTTCGAAATCCTTCGATAAATTTATTCTAAATGTGGAAACGTCGCTTGCTCGACTAGAAATTCGACTCGGAGTGGAAAGATTTGCATCATCGACGACCCAACCACCATGAACTTCGTTCTTCCTGAAATCCGTTTTCCTCGTCTTTGGATCTACCTGGCTGGGTTTGCACCGAGGCACTTCGGAATTCTGTTAGAGAGTACCTCGATACCTGTACTCGGTTAATTATAGGCGAGGATGAAGAAACGAGGGAAGGTGCTGGTGCCTAGAGAAGTCCTTAAGAGTTTTCCCATTCTTCCTCCGGGAGTTTCGGGATTATTGGAGGAAGGAATCGATCGATGACCCGACGGTGATTTTTCTCGGACAATTGGGTAAGATCCACAACTTTCGTTTCCAAGAGACGTAGTCTAACGTTTAATGAATCTGTAGTAAACCGCATTAAGGAGGATGACCTGGTTTGGAATGGTGCAATACGTTACCCAACTGCTCTAATTGATTCTGTCAAAACTCGCGGATTTTGATTGTGCTGAATTTCGACTCGACGTTCCCGCTTCGAAGTCCGACCAAAGATCGTGGAAAGTTCGGCAAAAAGACGCGTGGAATTCTAAAAGCTGCCGCGGACAAAGAAGTTTATTATCCCCTAATTAGCACTCCATGAAACGCAAGTATCTCGGTCAGGCTTTTCACTTGGCCTTTTCTATTCCGCCGGCTATTTTGGGAATTTCAACGTCTCGACTTTTCATTTTTCTTCTTGGTATCCCTCGGAGCCTTTTTTTTTTTGTATCCTCGTGCGTCCTATTTTCCTCCTTCTCTCGCAGCCGCTCCTGTGCTCGGTCTCGTTCTTCTAACCTTCGCTTTTCTCCCCCTCACCTTCACTTTGCTCTCATCTTCTCTCTGGCCGCATGCTTCACCTTCACTTTTCTTCACGCGGAAACCAGGCCTCGAGTTTCCCGTCAACCGATCCCGTTCTTTCCACGATCGAGCGTTTCCCTCTATACGACGCGTTACTCAACATTCTCATTCATGGACCATATGGCATAAGATATATATTTTCCACAAATTGAGAGAAAGAAAAATACTCCCCTCAATATGTTTCCCTGAAAATATTTTTCGCTCAATTTGAAGTCGACGTAAAAATAGGAAATGGAGATTTTCCAGAAATTTTTTCTCTTTTAACCCTTTTAGTGCCGACCCAAATCGCTGGCACCTGCAATTCGATATACTAATCGGCAGTAAAAGGGTTAATTCATGACGCGTTACTCTACATCTTCATTCATCGATACCATATGAACAAAATATATTTGCCACAAATTGAGAGAGAGATCAATATTTTTCGCTCAATTTAAAGCCGACGTAAAAATAGGAAATGGAGATTTTCCAGCCATTTTTCCTCTTTTAACCCTTTTGGTGCCGACCCAAATCGCTGGCACCTGCAATTCGATATACTAATCGGCAGTAAAAGGGTTAATTCATGACGCGTTACTCTACATCCTCATTCATCGATACCATATGAACAAAATATATTTACCACAAATTGAGATAGAGAGAGATAAATATTTCTCGCTCAATTTAAAATCGACGTAAAAATAGGGAATGGAGATTTTCCAGCAATTTTTCTTTTAACCCTCTTTTAACCTCTTTTAACCCTTTTAGTGCCGACCAAAATCGTTGGCACTTGCAAGACGATATATCGTTGTTCGGCAGTGAAAAAGTTAATTCATAGCCATTTCGTGTTGGATATTTTCCATTAGTCTATGAGTCTTCCTTTCCTCTCCTCGTTGCCTTCTCTCGCTATTTTTCCTCTCCTATTTTCCAGCCTCTTTATGTTTACCTTCACTTTTCTTTGCGCGGAAACGAGGTTACGCTCCGAATCGTACTCTCTTCACGCCGAGTGGTCTCCTCGTATGGAGGCGCAATTATCAGCGAATTATGGGGTAATCGCGATTACTCCGATCCCTCCTATTCCTCCTGCTCTTTATCGCATCCTTGCAGATTTATCTCCCCACCAAGTCTTCTCCCCCTTCCAGGACTTTCATCGCTCTCTCTCTCCCCTTGCCTCCACCTCCGTCCTTTCTATCCACACTTTTCTTCGTGCAGAAACGAGGTCTCCCGAGTTTCCCGTCTACTTAACGCATTCTTTTCACGGCCGAGCGTTCCCCTCGCATGGCTATTTATTCTCCAAGTACGGAGGAAAATGGGAAACCTTGGGAGGAAAAATGCTCGAGAAAGATCAAGAATGTTTAAGAATTTTGGTGGAGGAACCACCGTTCACCAAGGGAGAGGAAATGATTAAAAATTCCTCCAGGTAATTCCACCCGCCGAATTTTCTCGGAAAAATTCAAACGTCCTTTTTACGGAGCTCGATGTCGAGTCGTCGGGTCGATTGACGAAAGATCCGACATAGATCGCGTGTTTCTTTTTTTTTTTTTTTAAGTTTATTCCAACTTGGCTGCGCGTAGCTCAACCATTTTACGACAGGCTTCACGCTCGGCAACCCATTCACCTATAAATCCACATTTCCGAGCCGGGTTTCGAATTAATCCGCAGAAAAGGAATTTCTTGGATTCGAGGAGTCGAAATCGTGTCCCATCTATCGATTATTCTCGACGAACGGGCCTTCAGAATGGCTATTTCCGGTTCTCGAGCGAGGATCGCCTCTGTACCCCGTTAAGGAAGACATTGAAATTTTAATTTCGATTTTTCTTTCAATCCTTTGTTTCATTCAGACATCGAATTATACATTTTCTTTTTAAATCGATACTATGAATGTTAAGAGCTTTCGATTTTTCCTCGATTTTCTGTGGTCAAGTGAATGTATTTCGTGGATACTTTTAACAGGCTGGCGAAAGGGAAGACGCTGATTTAATTGATAACGATTTAATCAAGGGTGACATTCAGACATCGAATTATACATTTTCTTTTTAATTCGATACTATGAACGTTAAGACCTTTTGATTTTTCCTCAATTTTCTGTGGTCAAGTGAATGTATTCCATGGATACTTTTAACGGGACGGCGAAAGGGAAGAACGCTGATTTAATTGATAACAATTTAATCGCAGGTGACATTCAGACATTTTCTTTTTAATTCGATACTATGAACGTTAACACCTTTTGATTTTTCCTCGATTTTCTGTGGTTAAGTGAATGTATTTTGTGGATACTTTTAACAGGGCGACGAAAGGGAAGACGCTGATTTAATTGATAACGATTTAATCGCGGGTGACATTCAGACATTTTCTTTTTGAATCGATACTATGAACGTTATGACCTTTTGATTTTTCCTCGATTTTCTGTGGTCAAGTGAATGTATTTCATGCATACTTTTAACAGGGCGGCGAAAGGGAAGACGCTGATTTAATTGATAACGATTTAATCGCGGGTGACATTGTCGATTTCTGTTTCTGCTAGACTTTGCTGCTTTGCGACAGACCTCGCTATAAAACCCGCGACTTTCCAGGAAAAGTGGAGATTAATTACCGCGCCATTAGCTTTCGTAAATTGCACTTTTCAATGCCCTACTTTTCAGTCTCCGATTCAGTTTGGGGAGGCTGCTTTATCCTTAGGGTCGATTCATTAATCGATTGCCTGGAGGAGTGGGAAAAGTCGGACGCGAGTAGAATATCAATATCGGATTCGGCATTTTCAAATTCAGAGAGTATTCGATACTCTACTTTCGATAATAATTCGACCCGCGGCCAATCCTTTCTCATCGTTAATTTAACGACCTCGTCCTTTCTAACCCATTCACCGAAATGCCCTGGAATAATTAATCCGGTAATAATACAAAATAATTCTGCAAGTATTATCCAGGTCTCTTCCTTTGTGAAACAAAATATTCCAAATTTCACCGGGATATTTTATAAACCCACATTATTTAATAACAAGCGTTATTATTTAATCTTTTATAGTAAATGTGTATCAATTCGCAATTTAAACGTAAGGTTTGTAACTTTGGTACAGCCTTACCAAAAATGGGTACCAAACAAATGTACTAGTGTACTAAAAGCGCGTACTCTAATTTCCCTACACCACTTCGCAAGATCATAACGTGGCATTATAAATTTATTTAGACTTTTATAATAAATGTGTATCAATTCGCAATTTAAACGTAAGGTTTGTAACTTTAGTACAGCTTACCAAAAATTGGTACCAAAAAAATGTACTAGTGTACTAAAAGCGCGTACTCTAATTTCCCTACACCACTTCGCAAGATCATAACGTGGCATTATAAATTTATTTAGACTTTTATAATAAATGTGTATCAATTCGCAATTTAACGCAATTTAATACGCAATTTAAACGTTTGTAACATTGGTACAGCTTACTAAAAATGGGTACCAAACAAATGTACTAGTGTACTAAAAGGGCGTCCTAAAATTGCATAAATTTTCTAGATACTCTGGTAAGGCAATTACGCCAAGAGGGGGCACGCGATTACGCATTCGTGTCAGTGAATCAGATGACGAGGTGGAAGTCGGTTGTCTTTCTTTGCTTCCTGGATCGAGTCGGTTGATTATCC